AGAGAACACCGACGGGGCACCGGCCGGCGCCCGTGTGCCGCGGGCCGTGAGCTCTCACCCGCAGCTGAGGGCAGAGTGGCGGCTCACTTGCTGAGGGCTGCCAGCCAAGGTCCCCTGCAGCACGTCTCGCTGCTTTCACCCTTCCTTCCTTGCCCGGGGCCGTGCACCTCGGCAGACGCGCTGGCCCCGGGCGCTGCTGTCCCCAGAGAAGAAAGGCCCTTTGTGCGGCGGAGCTCGGGCTCCCGGCCGGAGCCGGCCCGCGGCCCGCGGCTGCAGCGGGGCTGGGCCCGGGCCTGGCAGCGCCCTGGCTGCGGCTGCACGGCTGCTGCCGCTGCATCCCTGCCTTCCTCACCATCCACAGCCTGCGGCGACACTCGGCACAGAGCGGGGGAACAAAGACACAGTCAGCAAAGGGAATCACGTGAGTCCAGAAATGTCCAGAAATGACCAGTCTTTAAAGAAGATCTAAATAATTTTTTCTGTAGATGTGGTGTTGATTTATTTATTCTCCCTCCTTCCTTCTTTTTACATAATGTTCCTCTATAATTGGAAATTCTCACTCTGTACTAGAACAATTCTTTTTAAATATGTACAGTAAAGTTAGTTACTCTTTGAACTGTAATACAAACAGTAAACAATGTTTTCTGTTGTATTAATATCTCTGCCTTATTTAGTTTTACTTTTACAACAGTGTTTTTTACTAACTTTTTTTTAAAATTCAGCAAAAACCTTTTGGACATAAAGCCCTCAAATGACCATGTGATTCCAGCCCAAAAAAGGCTGGAAATAAATCCCCGTAGACTGGTGTCCATAGCGCAGGTATTTGTTTATTGCAGCGCTGGTGGTGAGGAGAGATCTTTACCTAACTCACCCACCCTTGTCAAGTGCTGTGGTCTATTTATACAGTAATTATTGCTTCGTGTCACTATGTCACTACAACATCATCACATACATGCCAGAACTAATTTGCATTGTATGATCTCATGGTTATAAAAAGCTGTTCTGCCCTGTCCTTGTGCCTCTCCAATTTGGGGGTCCTCAGGAGTCTTTGATGAAGGCTTCCAAGGTCGTCTTCTTATCTGAACTTTTCAGCTTTCTCTTCGGAGCATGTACAGTTACAGTGTTCCTTGGTCTGTCTGGTCCTAGCTGGCCTAAATTCTTTGTTTTGTGGCTAATTGGCTTTACATTTGCCAATTCTCATTAGTACTATACTTACCTCTCTCTGAATCTATCCACCTGCTGTGTTTTTTCTTCTTTTTTGTCTATTCAGCATTAAGCAGCTAGTTCACCATATACTAGCCATAACATTGTATAAAAAGTTATTTTTTAACAGGTTATATAGGTATAAAAAGTTAGAATTCAGGTTATGTAGGTATAAAAGGCTATGATTCAGGTTACTTACATATAAAAAGTTATGATACAGGTTCTACTGATATCAGGTTTTATATATATATATATATATATATATATATATATATCAGGTTATATTGATAGCTTATAACTCAAGCAATATAAGCACCTTGTAACTTTGGCCTAAGTTATATAGGCATCACATGAAAGAAATCCCTTGTGTGCAGGGAATTAAGATCATGCAAATGGTCTTGTTTCACTAACGGGTTGTTTTATTTAAAAGCCAGCCTTAAGAAGAGTCTTTGATTTGGATTCTTTGAAATGTCAAGGGTGGTGAAGAGTTGCCATGTGATTTTGGACTTTGTTGTTCAATTCCGTTATTATTTTTAAAGCTTTGTTGTTGCCCTTGCAGTGTGACAAAGCGGTCTTTGGCTCCAGCATTGTGGCGTGGGACGATTCTAAGTGTTGCTGCAGCAGGAAACACTTCTGGCATGTACTTTCTTCCCTGTAGCTTGCCTTCAGGCTCAGAGAGAAAATCAGTAGATGGATTCTTATTGTAGAAAATTAGCCTTTATATTAAATGTTCAAGTGTTACTAACCATAAGACTGCTATGACAAGGATGTGCTTAGAGTGGGACAGTCTAGGCATATACTTTGATTTCTTGCTAGGCTCTTCTCTGTTTTCCTGGTGTTGCTACAGATATGTTAGTCTGTTCTGCTTGTGAAGTCATTAAAAAATCAATTCTTTAAGAAAGGCAAGGTGCTAACAGAACCTGGACAGACTGGAGGATCTTGATTTCTTCACCTAGTGCAAGTCCTTACTTGTCTGTAGTATTCCGCTTTTCCCTCCAACTGTTCTCTATGGTGTTAAATTAGTGTTTTTAACATGTGAATTTTTAAATCTGTTAATAATGTTGACTTCTTAGCAGACTACTTTTTTTAAAATTATATTTTTAGGTGTTTAATTTCTGGCAAAGTTCTTATTTTATTAAAAAAGCTGCAAAAAGTGGGCAAAAACTGCATATGGAATAACTCCTTCGAAGTTTATTTTCTGATCACCAAAGCAAAAATTAAACTATTACAGATTATTATAAACTATTATATTATTATTATTAGTATTGTAATTACTCCTTCACATTGCTACAAACCATTCACTCTTTTTATTAAAACAGGTAGATTGTCTTCTGTGTGCTTGATGTTTTTAATAACTAGTATTTTTTACTAGAAACTAAACATAGTAAAAGACTCCATCTTTTAACAGCACTATGTGTTTCTTCAGACTCTTCTCTCTTTTACTCACTTACTAGGGCTGTCAGTTCTGGATGGCTACTTATTTTCTTTATTTGTATTTCCCTGTCAAATTATAGAAAATAGAAAAATCAGTTGTTATGACCTTAGCCAGCATCTTCTTGTCATCTGAGTCCACATCTGTTTCCTCTTGTGCTGTTTATCTGTAAAAACAATGCAAGACCATTGCATACAATGCACATTTTAGCTGGCATTAGGGAAGAAATTACCAAGTTTTTCTTGGAAATTGAAAAATTCTTTAGAGAAATGAATAATGGTGCCTTGTGGTGTTGCTAAATGTCAAAGGAAAGGAAGACAGGAGTATACCAGATAAAACCATCCTGAGAGATATATTTTCCTGTCACTCTGTCTATTGACAGTGTCTGTGCTAAGGAACCACTGATATGAACAGATAATTTCTGTCTCTTAATTAATGTTTGCTTAAGTTTGCAAAGTGCAAAGGGCCTAAAGATTGGCTGTCAAATATTAGTTGTTCATTTATTTTGTTCAGATAGAAATTCTGCATGTACCTTTTACAGTATCCGCGGCTGCAGATGTATTGAAAAGAACAGGAGCAAAGACCGCTTCCAGTTCTTGCAGGCAGCCATGCAGTACCTTTCATCAACTCGGAAAACTCTCAGAATAGCTTTATTTTGGGCACACCATGCTAAAGTTGTATCCCCACATAAGTTTCATCTGTGTTTAAAGCAGAGGTCATATAAGCTTTCAGATTTCCTCTTCATACGTTACAAACTCGAAATTTTGAATCCTCATATAAGAGGATTTTTTTTATCCATCTCTTCTTTGTATTCTTTAAGCTGGTTTCACGCAGCTCTGTCACACTGATGACTGAGACTCCAGGCACCATGAAATGGTCACCTGTGTATCTTGAGTGCTACTATTGCAGTGTTATGTAAGCCTGATTCTTACGCCTTTTAGAGCAGCCTTCCAGATTTTCTCTTTTTGTTGTCACTTTGATGCCTAAAACTCATTCTGAGATATACTAATATGCCATTCCTACTACTCAAAGGCAATTAGAATATTTTGCATAAATTCATGTTAGAAGCCCAGGTGTATCACCTTGTATTTTGCACTGGTGAATTCAATCCCAGTTTTGAACAGCAGCTGTTAGGGTGGTTCAGTTCTCCTTTTGGAAAATCTCTGAGTTTCTAACATTGAGCAGCAAAATTCATCTGTACATATTGGGATTTTGCACCATGATTGTTAACAAAATGCTAGTAGTACTAACCTCTAATAACCTTCCTGCGCCCCAGTACTTCTGCTTTCAACATGATTTTCTAGCTCCCTTTTTAGCAGTTACTTACCCTCTTGACAGTTTTTCTAACAAGCTTCATTTTCTCCTCCAAAACTAATGATTTTCAATACTTCAAAAGATATGTGCAGCTATTTGTATTCCAGCTCTTTGAAAAATCCCTGCATCTCAGCAATATTTTGTCTGATGTCACTTAACTTTGGAAAATCTGCATTGATTTTCTTTTGTTTCTCTTCATGTAATTGATTATTCTTTGTAGCTCTGAAGCCTACATAAGCACTACATTTGTTACTCTTCAGTCAGATATCACGTCAGCAGCCTGATACACTGGTGTTCAAAGAGCCTAGCTGTACCTGTATTTACCTGTGCAAGTTCTTTCAGACTTCTGGGCTAGATGGTGTCTGTGCTTCACATTCTGCCCCCTTGGTTTTACACACTGAATCTATTTCCATTTTTGCTTCCAGGCTGCTAGTGGTAATTTCCTTATCAGTGTGCAGCTGTCATCACTACCATTGAAATTAGAGGAAGAACTATTTGTTCAGCCTTGGCCTTGATGCAAATTTCCACTAAAACAGATTAGAGTTCTGTATCCATATTGAAATCCAATTTAACGGCTTGGAGATTTCTACCTGACTATGAACAGTATCTAAGGAAGTTGCCTTAGTATTATTTTTGGCACTACTAAATTCTCCTTTATTCATACCATTGTATTTCTTGCAATGGGCTCTGTACACAGTTTCATATTTTTGTTCTCCCTGACCATTTCAATTAGTCTAGTAAATATTACTGCTTCCTCCAGCAAAGTTTTCATGGCTCATTTCTCTGTAGTCAACCACCATTTTTGGGCATCTCTCTTTTTCCCAACTAGCAGAAGTACAGGAGTTGTCAGACCATCATTATCATATTTGCTCTGTGTTTTTCTTGGCCAATTTATGTTGCCTGCAGGTGTTTGGGGTTCAAGGCTGCACTGAGGATGTTTTGGCAGAAAAACTAGCTAGCAATTGAAAAAGGAACTGAAAAGTTGCTAGGAACTGATACCTGAAATATTTCTAAAACCTTTCTGAACCACAGGTGTTTGTTCACTTTTCAGATCCCCCCTTTCCAGAAGTAGAATTTGTTGCAGTTAAAGGTTCTGCACCTTTGCTCAGACTCCGGAAAGCAGAAGATCAAAATGGACCAATCAGGTTTGTCTATTCACCCTTCCAAAGAACATTCTGCAGATTCATATTACATACAAATTATAACTGGTTTGGGTAGCAAGACTATTTTTTTAGCAATGGGAAAAAGCTTGAACTGTACCTCCCAGTTTCACTCCCCTTAGCAGAGTAATATTTAGCTTCAAGCTTTTTTGCTGTTTTCTGGAACAAAATCCTAGTTTGGATAATTGTGAGTTTTCACCACTGGCTTTGTGGTTTGATTTTGTTTTTCTTTTCCCTTTATCCACAGTGAGGTTACAAAAGATCTTTATTGATGAATACAAACACACCTCTAGTGAGGTGATTTTTCTTTTCCAATGAACTCATGCAGACACTACATTTTTTTCCTCAGAACCAGAAGAAATAGTGAATAATGTCCTCATTTTTTTCAAATTCTGAAGTCTGTTTTCATAGTAATTATTACTATCAAAATGAATTTCTAGAGTAAAAGGATTTAAACGTTACTGAGTGCTGTTTGTGACTGAAGCAAAAGGTAACTCAATATTACACTGAAGCAGAAAATACTTGAAAGCTAGGAAGATCTCATGGAATGGCAGGTGTAACAGCCTTAATGAATAGTCTTCCTATTGTTGAATACAATAGACTAAACATTGTTTTGAGAGGTATGAGGACAGATTTGATTAGTTTTTTTTTAAATGGCACCTGTCCTCTCCTCTTTTCAATTGAAAAAGTCTCATTTCTTTGAACTTACAAGTAATTTTTGGAGAAAATGGTATATTATTTCATAGGTGAACTTCAGTGTAAGGAGGAGGAGGAGATAGTCTGAAGTATGTCAGCTTTATGTTCTTCTGAACATCAATAAGCATGTAGCAATAACATGAATGTGATGAGAAGACCCAGGCTAAGCAGTGCATGCAGTGCATTTGGTTAAAATTGAAGTGGAACACACACAGAGAGAAATATTTTAGTATAAGAAGTGTTTGTATTGGACAGTGTTAATAAAAAACAGTTAAGAGGCTACAAATAGAAAAAAACAGTATGGATTAATGAATATCTGATGCTTATTTCATTGAAATGTGGGCTAATATTTACTTTTCTGTTTTGTTTTACTCTAGTCTTTATCAAGTGATTGTGCTTCCTCTGGATTTGCAAAGCACTTTTATTTGTGACTCCTTTGCTGCTACAACTTTCTTTAGTAACACCACTGACATTAAAGGATATGTGGCAGCTGAATTTCGGGCAAAGGATGTTACTGATAATATGTCAATTGCTCTTGGAGACAGACATTATTATGGGAAGTTTTATAATGCTCCATTAAAGCTGGGAGAAGAGTATTGTGTTTTCTTGAAAATAATAAGTGAGTGGAATAAGGTAATGGATGTTTTAATACCCCTTCTTTACACCTCTTGAATGAAATGTTCCTGGGGGAAAAGATGAAAATGTTAGCTGGGTATTAAATTTTTCATGACACTTCAAGAATCTCCTAATTGACAGAATTAGATTAAATGTGAAGCTCTTTAAATATCTCTTAAAATTCCTTAATGGTACTTATGTCATTGTAATGTTGAAGCAACTCTGAATGCCAAAAGTCAAACAATGGAAAATAATTAAAAATGAATGACCATCTCTGCCCTCAGTAATTGAAGATGTCTGTGTTGGACCAGAATTTACTAAATGAGATTAGTGTGAGAATTTGAAAATCACTCCTTAGCAATGATGAATTCACCCATTTTAATTTTTAATTAAATATTTTATAATAAAAGATACCAATTCTCAAAATTACATGGAAAAATATATTTTATTATGTATTGTTACCTTCCAAAAGGCAGTGAATGTCAGCTCCAGATCCACTGAGAAAGGCCTTTTAAAAAAGTGTATTGTTATCATTAATTTTCTATAATTTCAAAGTAAATATGTATTTTTAATTAGAAACAAAAATTTCTAAAATGTACATATAGTCTAATTTCCCAGTTGTATCTATCTCAGGAGTCAACAGTTTTAAAGTTTTTTATAACATAAGTCTCAGCAGTAGAAAGTTTTTCTTGTATGGGACAGGGGATAACTCCTTGCGTTCAATACAGTTCCTGAATGTTAAATACAAAAACTGAACTAAGCAACCTCTAATAAAGAACGAAACACCTAAAGAGTGCCTCACTTTGCCATCAAAATAGAGTTTTTAGGACTTAGTGTATACAGCACAAAGCAAGGAGGCATGCAAAAACTGATCCATGAGTCACTTATAAATAATTCTCTACGATTTTGGAAGGCTACACACAAACCTCAGTAAGTTAAAACAGCTTCTGTTAAGAAATAGTGAATAACATCCTCATTTATGCACATTCGAAAATACTGTTTTCATAGTGGTGTATTACTGTCAAAATGTGTTTCTAGAGTAAAAGGATTTACCTTTTACCTGTAACTGCCTCAGTTCAAAGTCAGCGAAATAAAACAAGTGCAGGTAATAAGAGGGCTCTGGTACCTACTAATCTGTGCAGTACTATTTAACAATAGTCTGAGAAATTTTTATAGCAGATATGAAGTGATTTCCGATCCTGATACAAGTTTGTTGTTTGTCATAATTTTTTAATTAATTGTGTGAGGGGAAAAGTAGGAAAATGGCAATAGAAGGTATTTCATTTCATAAATAATATTAAATTATTAACATTGACAACCAAACTATCTTGGAATGTGGACAATGAACTGAATTTCATAGAAAAGTACTCTCTGTAGAGCAGGATTGTTAATCAATCAAATGTATACAAGTTTGGCCTCTTCAGGCACTATTAAATACATCTTTGAGCTTAGTTTATTTATCCTGGGGTTTTATGCATTGGCTTCCCTAGCTCTTTACCCTCAGTGTTTTCTAATACTAGGGTATTTTAACTTCTTTTACTTTTGTGGAGGTTTTTGCTGCACAAAACAAAGTAGATTCTTATACATCTTTACCAGCTGTTTATGAAGCTGCTTCTAACTTACATTACTCTTTCTCTTTCTTATGGATTATTTCCTGATATTTCACTGCTGACATTTGCAGATGTATTTTCTAGGCCACGGATTTGAAAGATTAATATTACAGTTATTTGTAGAGGTCACTCTTGCTTCCTACCATTAAAATGCATCAGCTCCCTCATGTACACTTTCCTGTATGGCTTTTGTTGGTTGACAAAATACACAAAGTTACATGCAACAGTTATGAATCATTATTGGGATTGCAAATGCCAAACTGCTTTGGTTTGCAGCTCTGCTTCTTTAAAATGGAACTTGGACTGCAGGTTCAAATACCAAAAGTATTGGTTTATCTTCAATTGTCATGCCCTTTTATTTTTGTGCAATTGCTGGTATGAGAAGGCTGAAAAAAAATCGGAATTATGTTGTGTAGGTTTTTGGGTTTTGAGACTTTCTAAAAATGTGATTACTTAAGTAACTGCATTTGGATTCAAGAGCTCAATCTTCTTTTTAAAAAAATTGCTTGGCCCTCAATTCTTAATACCTGTGAAATCAGCATTTCTGAAGTGTCTTTTACTTGTTAGCACATTTCCATTTGAATACAGACAAATTAGAAACAGATGTAATAGGCTCCTAACGTTCTCATTATTCTCTTTCATATTCTGGCATCCTTAAGGATCCGTTCTGTCTCCTTTCATACTAAAAATGATACAATTTGTATCATCATGCTGCAAAATCGTTGGTTGGTTTTGATTTTTATTAACATTATTTCTGCATATCCCTAACATATTATCATGTTCATTTTTCCATTTTTCAGATTTGGAGGTCTTGAAAAGGGTGTCTGCTCTGAGGTTTTTACTTTCCATTTATTTTTTGTTTCTCTGAGATTCATGAGACCTCTGTAACTCCCCTGATAGGCAGGAGATGTCTTATGTTCTGCACACTAGAGTGTGTCATGAAGGTAGCTATTTCAAAATGATGGCACTCACACCAATGCCCCAGAATGTGGCATTTGATTGGGTTTCTAGACCCACCCCTTTATCTTCCCACTTCTGAGAAGATTTTTCTTGTCATTTTAATTAACCAGAAAATTCCTGATAAATAATGGGTTTAAGAATCATTGAAATTCCACAATTCAGCATGCAGATACACAGAAGTGAGATTAATCACAAAAATGTGCCTTCATACTTTTATCCAGATACTTCAAACCGTAGCCTTCTTTCTCAAATGTATTGTTCTTCAGAACAACATAATACACACTTTGCTACAATATAAAAAATGCATATATTGTGTATGTATTATGTGAAAGTCTGTGAAGGTCATTTAGCAGGAAGCACTACAAAAATACACTTCACAGTAATTACATAATAGATAATAGAACCTAGAATAGAACTTTGTGTGTTGCTCTACAGAGACCAAAGCTTACTTTTAAAAAGTATCAAACTTGATTAACAAGTCTGCAAAAGCAGACCCATGATAAATATTTATTTAATTGTAAGTAATCTATACCGTTATTAAAACTTACCAAGCATGTTATCATAATTGAAGAAAATGCTACATCTAGTATTTGTAAAACATGCCATCAGATACCCGATTTTAACATACATGTTCTGCCTGGGAGAGAGTTAACACAGCATATTTAGCCTTATCTTCACATTTCATAAATTCTGAACCCTTATCAAAGCAATGTCAAAGATCCTTCCATGGATGGAAGGTTGTAAAAAGAAAGGAAGAATAATGAGCTAAAAGCTAGAGCCAGCCTTTCAGCAAAGTTCTATGTCTAATCTTATTTTTATAATTAATAATCTTTTAAGACAATATAGAGGCTGCTACCAAGGGAATAACAAACTCCATTCCACATAAATTTTTTTGATGGCTGATCATTCAGAGGGTGTTAGTAACAATAAATTTTTCTCATGGGAAACAGTGATTTTTATGTTTTCTTTTTTAGGTAAGAAGACAGTCCTGTGCTGTTTGGGCACAAATTAAAAGTAAGTCAATTTTTCCTTCAATAAAGAAGTTGAAGTTGTCATGGCTTTGCTTGGCAGCGTAAGTTAATAATTGCTGTGGCTGTTTCTTCTTTTGCCATTCATTATCTGTTGACTTCAAGGATTGAAAAAATTAGAGACAGAAAATTCTCCTTGCTCTTTACTATTCCATTCCAGTGGATTCAGCAATCCATTCTAAAATGTAGTCTCCTGTTTTTTCCTGATTTTCGTTGTTGTTATTTCTTTGCATCACATCCAAATCTTTACAGCAATTTTTGTGCACAAAGGATCTGAAGCACAGAAAATGTGGAATTTTGGAAGCCTATTTTAAGAAAGTTTTATATTGGCTTAAAGATTTAAAAAATCAGTCAAAGAACAACAACAATTACTGGAAATAACACTAATATTAAAAGCACATTTTCTTCTGCTACAAAAAAAGTTAAAATTAAGTTTATGGGTTTTTCATGATATACGATCTACAATATGCAAGGAAGACAGTTCTGTAACTTTTATGGAGGGTTGGCATCTTCTCTAGAGATTTGTAATTTGCTGATGGAAGCTGGTGTTATAGTGCTACAAGGGCAGGTATATATTTTACCAAAAATGAGCATAATAATTATTTTTTTCATACTCTAATTAATCTTTATTCCTCAACTGGATGGTAGCTTCTAGGGAGTCACCTCCATTACTCTCATTAACTGAGCCGTATGTCCAGCATTTGGGTTTTGTTGCAATACTTCAGCTATGAGCAGACTGGTGCTGCACTGTTTGATTGGTTTGTTTGGATTGTTTGACACTTTCTTTCAGATGTATCACCCACTCTGCAATACATGACGGCTGTTGGATTAGGGTCAGTGGCTGCTGTCTGCCTTATATTGTTCCTGTCATTCTCCGTGGCACGGTATGTGATGTTGCTGCCTGCAGTTTTGCAGTCCTCCTTCACGTGTTTTTTTCTTTTCAGATAGATTTTCTTGCCAACATGGTTGGTTTAGGCATCATGGGTGGTTAGAAACTGTAATCAAGGGTGCTTTCAGTGGCCACTGATGCTGTCCATTGCTTCAGCTGATGTCCTCTGTCTTTGCAATTACTGGCAAAGCATGTGAAATGTGTAGGGCTTATCTTAATAAAGGAAGGATTTAAGACAGTGAATAGAACCAGGACTTTAGTACAGAAGTGTTCTGATTTAATGGCAATTAAGTACATGAACTTTATATGCTGTCAAAATGTTGATGCACTTTGCTTATGTACAGAGCTAATTTTTTGTCTTCCCAAATTTATTCAAAAGGCCTGAAAAAAATTGTTTTATCTAAAGGCCATGATAAAAACATGTTTAAAATTTTTAGGAGATTTATTAATTTTTGTTTCATGATCAGTGTTAGTAACTTCATAACTGTCTTTCAAAGTTAAATATGCAAATTATATAATTGTAAATGCCTACATACATGTAAAATCTCTTCACTAAAATCTATGTCTTTGCTGTTGTTTCAATATGCATATCTAAAAGGATAGTCTTCTGATGTATTTCCCTTGAAAGGTAATGAGCCTCCAGCTTGGGGACTATGAAATACAGCATTGATTGGTTAAGCTGCTGGTTTGGTGCTCTGAAACCAAATTAGTAATTAGGAACCAAATTAGGAATTAGTGGTATATGGGGCTGAAGAAAGTAGGTTTATTTGGATTGTTTGTGGTTGTCTAAATTTCAAATCAGTTCTTGCAATCAAAATTCTGAATTAAAAGTTCCATGGTCTCATTTTTTTCTTTACGTAACTAAATGAACAGATCCCTTAGCAGTAAGTGGAATGCAGTGGTAAACTTGAGCTTGCAGTCTTGGTTGTTTTGGGGGATTTTGAAAACATTGTCAGAGTCAGCTTTGATATTTGAGGAAGAAGGGGCTTTTACTGTCTTGATTTCTAAAGCAGCTGACTCCTGACAGAGGACTTACTGCAGGAGGAAGGGATTCCCTGGACTGTCATGGCAAGAAAGGCTTTTCAATTATTTCAGTTTCTCTGGCAAAAATGTGGCAGACGGATATTAGTACTGTTCAAAACTATATCAAATCAATTAGGTTCATAGTGATAGGAGAGTGATTTGAGGTACGAGACAGTACTGGAAGAATCATGTATGATTATGAGCCACTTGTGAGAGAGTGCAGAGAAGACAGACCCTGAGCTTCCACTTCAGCCTTCTTTCAAAAGGAGAGAGAGAAAATGAAATCAGTAAGGATCTGATTACATTGAGTAAATTTGATAGTGGTGTATTGTAGGGGACAAGGACTTAAAAAGTCAGCAAGTATCTTTTAGGCCCTTGATCCCATGTACAGAGAAATTTTTGAATCCATTCTCCTGTTCCAAGGAATATCAGACAGAATCATTAACAGAAATTAAAACTGGCCCATGCCAGCAGTAGACAGAGAAGGGAATCCCTAGATATCAGTTGTGATAAGACACTTCACAATGCTCACAAAAAAGTATCTGTAATATTTTAAATAAAAAATGTGCTTTTAGTTATAATTTACCATCAGTTTAAAGCATTTCTGAGTAAGAATGTGATTTGAAAAAAACCTGTGTGAAGTCAGCCTTCTGCCCTACTGTCCTGGTTTACGACAAATTAGGGGAAATCTCTAAAAGGGAGCCCCCTAAAAAAAACCTCCAGCCACCCCTCCCCCAATACCGGGTTCGGGAAGGAATTCCTCGGAGGAGCACAGTGGAAAACAAAACCTATTTATTAACAAATAACAAAAGAACACTCCCCAACACAAGAAAAGAAAAGAAAACCAGGCAGTGCTGTGGAGGGCGCTGAGCTTCTTTCGCAGACTCCGGGGGTCCTGGACGCCGGGGGTCCTGGATGTCCCAGGTCAGGTCCGGAGCCGGTCTAGTATCTTCAGGGAAGGGTAAGAAAGAGGGAATGAAGGAAAAAGAAAAAAAACAGCGTAGAAAGCAGAAAGCGGCAAAAAAGCAGCTAGCAGCTAGCAGCCGAGGCAGGAGCAAGCAAGCAAGCCAGCCAAGCCAAGCAGCCCAAAAGCCAAAGCTAGAGTACCTGGTCACACTCACACCCCTCCCTCCCTGCCCCGCCGCGGCAAGACGGCCGGGGGAGGAAAAGGCGCAGCTGCCAGACACAGCACACATATTGGGATAAAGGCTGTCACCCCACGACACCTATCTAGTTGTAAAACCATGGTCCTGTTTTAGACACCATACTCCACGACAGATGTGGCCTAGCAGGAGAAAAAGAGAGTGGAATTTGACAAGGGAGACCTGGGATCTATTTAACTGCAAAAAGGGTATTCTAGTGGTGGGTTGCTTAGCCTGGCAGAGAAGATTCTGCCAAGAAGCATAATATGCAAATATACAAATTGCCACTATATAAAGATAAACTTTCTCCTGTTGGTAGTGCCAATAGTACATGTACAGCATGGCCACGTGCTTCTGAGCTCTGGGAGAGGGAGGTATGGGAACAAATTGCTGTGAATGCAGCTTCTGGGTGGTCTGCAAGAGGAGGTTAAACAAACTTGTCAGTAATGACATAGCTATGGCTGATCTTGCCATGGTGTCAGGTGAATGGTCTTGGATTATTTCTTGGGGTTCCTGTAAGCTTCTGTCACAGAGCGCCACTGTATTCAAGTGCTCACCAGCTTGCCACATGTTTGCTGTCTAAGGGATTCTGTTTCCACAATGGATGGAATTCAGGGTGTGAATTCCTGCTAGTATGGTTGCTGACAGCAATTTCAACTGTTCCTCAATAAGTAGAAGTCTGGAACTAGATTTACAAAGTGAAGTCTGACTCCTGATGTCCTTAGATATTACATTTTTCATTTTGAAAAATGCACTAGCGCATAGTTGTTATTAAAGGGGTTTGTCATTTATATACCTTGCTCCATTCCTCTTAGTTCTTTTCTTTCTTTTGTATGTGATGCCCATTCATATGCATAAGGACAGTGCCAGAACTCCAGATTTTTGAAGATCTGCACTGGGCGTCAGTGTTGTTGGTGCCAAGGTTAACATTGGTCAGGTAGTCATGTGGTAACCTATGGGAATGCTTCCTACCCATCTCACACTGGCTATAGTGATCAGGATTTGTTAGTAGCACCATACGTCTTCAAAAAACTTCAGAAGCATTGTCATGTATCTAATCAATATGAGTGATACAAGTTCCCTGTCAGGTCCATGCTTGAGTCTTGAATAATTTGTAGGACTTTTTTTTTCTTTAACTGGAATTTTTTCTTTCTCCAGGTCTTGTCTTCACAACTCAGTGCATCCCCCACCTGCTGCTGTAGCCTGCGAGGCTGTGCACTTATCTACTACAGTAGATGTGGCACAAGCAGGGATTGCATCATCATTCCTAGAGACTGAAAGTGTCTCTCTTCTCTGATGGTTTATTCCCTGAAGTCAACGTAGAAAAAAGCGCGCTCTTCTTTCAAAGCCAGCATGTGTCTGGTATCTGCATGTCACATATGTACTACAGCGTGGACAGTTTAAATGTGTTTGTCACTGGAGTGAGACGTTTATTGTCTTGCCTAATTCCGGGTGGTGTGGTGTATAAAGAAGAACCTTCCCTTACAAGCAGGTTATCATGCATCCCATGTGTTGGTCACAGTCTTTCAGCTATTCCAGATGCATGAGCGCCTGATAATGAGTGCTTGTATTGTACTTGATTACATGAATAATCCCCTGATCCAGCGGAGACTGTTTGAGGATTAAGTGCTACTTTAGATACCTTTGCACACATGAACTGGCCTATTAGGAGCAAAAGTACAGACCTACCCTTATGCGAGATAAAGTGCCTATTGTACTTCCACTTATAAAGGTAGAACACTTCTGTCAGTCACTTACAAGTAATGATACATCAGTAGCATGTACACTTGTTAGCCATGAAGTTGCCACATTCAAGCAGTGTCAGCAACTGATGTGTTCCAAAGATATTGCAACCATTGCTCATAGCAATTAGCAGTAATTGCAAAAAATATGCCAATCTATAAAACTGCAGTTTGCTCAAAAGCTGCTTGCTTTAATGGCAGGTGAAACTAATTTAAGGAAGGACCTTCCTGTGTTAAGTGCAGTTTTGTTAATCTCTGTTCTATAATTACAGCTGAGTAAAGCCATTAAATCATTGTCTAGGTAATTGGCTGGTGTGTAACATCTGGTTAGAGTCACTTAATAAAGTACAATTTAACCAATTTCTTTTGGCATACTCCCAGTTAATAAATTTTCTTTCTTCTGTATGAAAGAATCAAGTGGCTTTGATTACTTCCACACCCCTTCAGAAGTTGCTTTGTTATATGTTAGTAAGAAAAATGTTAACTGGTGAAATAAAAAAGCAGGAATTTTGGTTTTGTGATTTTTTTTCCTAAGTTATGTTTTGTGTTTTACCACTTTAAATATATGCTGCACATTTTTGGAATTGTTAATTTCTGAATTACTAAGATTCTGATGCCTACTGCTCTTACAATTTTAGATGTTCTGTCTCTCTATAACATGTAATTAGGGTCTTTTTGGATTTAAAGTACAACAGCAGATTTCATAGTTAGAAGCAAAGAGGAGTTACACCCAAAAAGAGTTTTCAATTGCTGCATGCAGCTAAGAGTACTTTTTCCAGGTCTGGGCAGATACCATTTCTGTTATCCAGCATTTCCAGAGCTGTCCTTCAAGTTAATAGTTAATAGCTAAGTAACATCTTTGTCTACACTAGGGATTAAAAGTCAATAGCATTTTCTGTTGCTAATTGAGAAAGAATAATTAAACTGTTCATACTGGGAAACCATGCCTTAATTTTTCAGTTTCTTGTGTGGAATTCATTCTCACACATTCTGTGCCTAATTCCCTTTATCAGTGGAATGGTTTGCAAGGTTTGGTATGAGTATGAACTGCACCACTTCATTCTGATTCAGTCTCCTGCTGCTTTGGTCCTTAGAGAGAGTTCATGAGCAGCTGTTCCTGTGTAAGGGAGAGCTGGAGAGGCTGGGAATTATTTAGAGAGACAGATGTGCCATCCTCTGTTAAAAAGCTGAACTTCTTTTTACGCTTTACTGAGACCACCAGTATTCCAGTATGCTACACTTGATCAGGACTATACAGTCCATCTTGTCAGTGGGTATAATTGGAAAACTGGAGGTCTTTGTGTGATCTTCAGCAGGTTATTTCTTTTCTGTGTGCCTCTTACTTGCCCAAGTTGTTTTTTCATAGAGTTTTCAGAGCAAGGTTTTTTCTTACAAAACATCCATACTTCTGCTGGTAGTTAGATAACATACTTAATGACTGATTTGGACATCTCCATACAGTGTAGCTTCTTGATACTCAGGAATGGACTGATAAGGGAGAAGAGATGAGACAAGACTTCCTGTCATCTTCAATTTTCCACATCAGCTACAGTTCTGCAAGTTTCCCTCATTCCTTCTGCCTCCCTTGTCACTCTTGGCAGACCTACCTCTGGCTGTGAGCATATCTTCATATGTGTTTACCTTATTACTTATTACTTCATGTTTACTTATCTTTCTTACACCTGTATCCGTCTCAGTTAAATATAGAAAGAATAGAGAGCTAATTTTACCTTGCCATCCTCAGACAGATGTGCAAAGGTTAACAGGTTTTTTTTTTGTTAGACCCTTGCTTTACTGTTCCCAAGCTTTTCTGCTGAACTAATTGCAATGTCATAACCACATTCTCATGTTTCCAGAAATTCTGGAGACATTTCTAGTGATTCTAGAGACATTTCTAGTACCTTCAGTTAACACTGAAATTTTTCCTTTTTTCCAAATTTTTTCTGTGCTTCCTTGGATAGGTTTTCCACACCCAGGCCAAGTAAGGTTAATTGAACTGAACCTACTATACTTTTACTGCTGATCTGAACCACTTCATGGTGCTATGTTGCAATGTGCTATTGAGAAAATTGTTGCTTTAGATCCATACCAATGTCTGCACTATATGTGGAGCGTTTTAATCCTCTTTATAGGAAAGGGGAAATTGTTACTCCTGGATAAACAAGTCTTGTAAGCATAAGTGAAACTATTTTTTCTATTTTATTTTATAATTGTGAAGTAACACAGGATTACTGTAAAAATCCAGTCCTTATGCAAGTAATTGTGATGGTATATAAAATGAAAAAGTTTTATTGTAAAATACTACTACATGTCACTTATAGGTCCTTAAAATTTTTGGTGAAATGTCTTTGTTTTGGGCATGATAAACACAGAAGTTGGCCAGGCTTGTTTGTTTCAGTATTTGTATTGTCATTCAATTGTACAAACAGGGCCAGAGAAGTGAGCCGGTGTCATGGTTTTAAGCCCACAAGTCTATGAAAATTAAACACTTTATAGCCACTCCTTCCCTCCCTTCTCCCTGCAATCCAGTGGAAAGGGGAGGAAAATCAAAGTAAAACTTGCATGTTGAGCTAAGAACAGTTTAATAATTGAAAATAAAGCAAAATACAATAATCGTGGTGAAGGAGAAGAATAGTGAAAAGAGAAAAACCCAAGTAATGCGCAATGCATTTGCTAACTGCCCACTGACTGATGCCAGACCCCCCTCCTGAAGCCAGACTGGCCGAGCTTCTGGGTGACTCCCTCCAGTTTATGTACTGGGCATGATGTTCTGTGGTGTGGAATATCCCTTTGGCCAGTTCAGGTCACCTGCCCAGCTATGCTCCATCCCAGTTTCGTGGTTGTTTTGCATATCTCCTCACTGGCAGAGCATGAGGCAAGGGGGAAAAAAAAACTGTCCTTCATTAAGCATAAACACTGTTTAGCAAAACCCAAAACATTGGTGTGTTATCAGCACCATTCTTATTTTAAATCCAAAACACAGCACTGTAACAGCTACTGAGAGGAAATAAATTCTACTCCATCTGTAACTAGGACAGCCACTCTGCTGCTTGAGTTTGTGTATGTTCTCAGATTTAACTATTCTCAGTTACCACTCCTGTTTCCGAGGTATTGCACTATTTTGTGAGGCCATTTCATATTCAACATGGTTCAGACAGAATCCAGCATGGGCTCACAGGTCTCTAGCTCAGATGAGAGGATTTCTGCTCCTAGTGATAGAACTGCTAGGAAGTTATGAAAGTCTGTGAAAAATCTAACTTTCAAGGAGGGAACTGGTGTCCTTGAATATACTGAGTAGATTCTGTGAAATTAGCTGGTGATCTCAGTGCTGAACTCCAGTGTAAGGGATTAAGTGTCAGTGTTGCAGAAGTACTGCAGCTCCTCTCAGCAGATGAATGATTCTTTGGAAAACACAGGCACTGTCTTTTCATTTCTGACAATGACGAGGTCTGAGGAGTCAGAGCACAATGATTTAAATTGTGGTATTGCTATTATGGAGCTATTTCCATTTTGAAGTTAACAAAATGGCACCATTACAGTGACAGAAGAAAAAGGGGAGTCTTGCTCTGGAGTTCTCTTTTTCCTCCTCCCCCTCTTTCCTCAGATTTTTTGTGTATTTTTTCCAGAAATAGTGCCTATCTTCCTGCAATCTCATGGTGGAATAAGGAACAAAAACATTTTATTAATGTTTTCCCAACCTTGAGTCAGCAAAATTTAATGCAGTTCAGTTGCAGTTCGTGTTTTATGTTCCCTGGAGTCCTTGTTGGATTACCATGTTGTACATTATACATGTGTGATATGTATATACATGTATGTGTGTGTGTGTGTGTGTGTGGTTTTTTTTTTTTTCTGTTTTTTCCATTGCACTTAACTAACTGAAGATACAGTCTAAATTTCCCACCAATAGTGGAGAACCTTGGTTTCCACCCCAAGACTATCAAAAATACTAGTAGAATGAGAAGCAACAGAGAAAGAATTATAGAAATAAAGCAAATTCTTTACAGAAAGTTATTTCCAAAGGCCCAGATTTTCTTAAGCAGCTTTTAGCATTGAATATTTCAGCCTGATTTGGTAGCAGTTCATATAAAAGTCACTCCTGCAGCCATCCTGGGAGAAGTGAAAAAGCAGCAGACTGGTGAAGATGTTCCAAGATAATGACCATAAATCAGCTGTGCCAACACACTGAATAAAGACTAATATAACAAAAACAAAGAGTAGGGTTGGTGAAAGCCAGCTCTCAGCTATCCCTTTCAGCTGTGTAAAATGGCTGTCTCAGTTTTTCTCTTAGCTGATGAAAATGTTAGGAAGTTTCATTTTGTTTTGTATACCTGTGAATTCTGACCCATTCTGGGTATTTTATTTTCATGCATTCACTTGTCCAGTCCTTTCTTCTAACCTGGAGTATTCCTTCATGTGCAGAAAAACAGAACCACTGTTTCTGTGCACTGTGGAATGCCAAATTAGTAGCGATTGTAAATATCTCCTGAGAGGCACAGGGCAAGGCAGAAGTGTTTAACACATTCTTTGCCTCTGTCTTCAATGTGGATAATGAACCAAAGGGGTCTCACCCTGACTGTGAGAATGATCAACTCCCAGTTGACCCTGAAATTGTGCAGGATCTGCTACTCCAGTTGAACATCTACAAATCTGTGGGGCCTGATGGGCTTCCTTAAAGAACTAGATGATGTCATAGCAAAACCTATTTTGATTTTTGAGCAATCTTGGGAATCCAGAGACGTCACAGGTGATTGAAGCTGATGAACATTGTTCCAGATTTCAAAAAGGGGCAGGCAAGAGGAACGTGGAAATTACAGGCCTGTCAGTTCCACTTCAGTGTTCAGTAAAGTTATAGAAAGATTATTTTGGGAGGTAATAAAAAACACCTGAAGAGCAATACAGTCACTAGTCTTGGCTGGCACAGCTTCATGAGGGGAAAGGGCACTGCTTATCAGACCTGATTTCCTTTTGTGACAAGGTAACCCACCTAGCTGATCAAGAGAAGCCAGTTGATGCAATCTTTTTGGATTTCAGTAAAGCTTTCAGTATTGACCTTCCAGTATTGAAGAGCCCTTGTGGAGAAATATCCAGCTCACACAGAATAACCACATCATGTGATGGGTGAGGAGCTGGTTCAGGGGTCAGGCACAAGGGGTTACAGTGAATGGGGGGACACCAGACTGGTCACCTGTCACTGGGGGGTTCCACAGGGCTCCATGCTCAGCCCTGTGCTCTTCAAAGTTTCAGAAATGGCTTGGACAGACACTGATCTCTTCTCTGGGATAATCAGTGACAGGACGTGAAGGAATGGCCTGAAGCTGTGTCAGTGGGTTTAGGCTGGGTATTAGAAAAGGATTCCTCACCCAGAGGGGAGGTTGGGCACTGAACAGGCTCCCCAGGGAAATGGTCACAGTACCCAGCTTGGCAGAGTTCAAGAGAAAATTGGAAAATAATCTTGGGCTCATGGTGTGACTCTTGGGGATGGTGTTGTGTGGGACTGGGAATTTGACTCGATGATCCTTGAGGGTCCATTCCACTCAGCATATTCTGTGATTCTGTGATTCTGTGAAAGAGTGCTTCAACAGCAGTTCTGCATTTTTACAGTATGCCAATCTACAACTGGCAAATGAATATTATTATTACTATGTGATATATATACAGCATGTTTCAGTATGATGATTTGAATGGTTTATGGCTTAATGATATCTGGATCCTTCCAGTTCAGCTAAATATTACCTTAATCACGTTACTCTTCATGGCTTCAATCTGCCAGATGTTAATTTTTATTACAATAAAACAGATTCAA